CATTAATAAATATGATCGTTATCAAATGAATTTCAGCAAAACTCCGCTTTTTTATTTATTTTGAATACAGACAGACAAAATAACACCAATGAAAACATAACCTCCTTTGCAGAGATAATAAAATCCATCACCTGTTTTTGAAAATCAAATAATTCTACTAAACAGTTCAACATACTCCTGTTTCAGCTACCCTTTCAGCTTTTGATTCTTTACACATCACTGCAAAATAATCCCTAGGCATTCAAATAAAAACTGACATTTCAAATGTTCTGTTCAGACCAACATTTGTCTCAGAAGATCTGAAGACATCCTGTGGAGCAATAAAATACTTTTTGAAACATGGTAGTAAATATGCTTTCAGGTAGTGTGTAAATTTTACTAAATGAGACAAATGAGAAAAGGGGAGAAAATTCTACTTGTAATGTCCAACTTTAATCCATGTTCATTGAATTTACTATAATTGACAGGAGGTGTAAACCTAGAAAGACTTAATGCTCATTTCAAATCAGGAAGTACTTCAGCAAGGTGTGCAATAGTGTGTGCACCTACGCACCCATGTTTCTACAACTTTTAAAATTCTCACAACTGACAGAGTAATTAATTCATTTCTAGGTGAATAACAAGCCACACAAGCTGGATAAAAAAAAAAAAAAAAGTTAATTAATGTGTCATTCATATCAGGAACACTATGTGATAGCATTTGTAAACGTTTTAAATTCACTTTAAGTCATTGAAGTCCGTGGATTATAGAAGTTGTCAAAAGGGAAGTTTTTGCCTGGTGGGTTAGAGCAGTGTGCTGGTACTCTGAGAATGTTGCAAGTACCCAGTTCCATCTCTACAGCCTCCACTCTGGGTTCCTGAGCAAAGATCCTTAACCCCTTATTGCTCCCCAGGCGCCAGACAATAGCCACCCACTACTCCCCAGGGGGATGGGTCAAAATGCTGAGAACCAATGTTCCCATTGTGCGACAATAAAGGGATTTACATTTAATGGGGTGATGGCCTAGTGGTTAGAGCAGCACGCTTGTACTCTGAGAAGGTTGCAAGTACCCGGTCAGATCCCCACTACCTGCATTCTGGGTCTCTATAGCAAGACCCTGAATCCCACACTGCTCCCCTGGTGCCAAACAATGGCAGCCCAATGCTCCCCAAGTGGATGGGTTAAATGCAGAAATATCTCCAGTGTGAGATCAATAAAGTTAAATTATTATTATGATAATTAAAAACTATAAAGTCAGAGACCAGCAGGATTATTACCGGTTGATTATAGAATGGGTTCATTTTCTTTGAGGGCTAGTAAACCCCTTTTGATACAGAAGTAAATAAGAAAGTATCAAAGAAATGTAAGCAGTAAACAATGCATGGTCGTGGTAAGAACAGCCTTAAAGATATTTTTAGTCTCATAGATGTAAATGTCTTTTTTTACTACTTTCATTTTCTATTTAAGATATATGTTATCTTTTAGGAGCAGCAAATGGGTTTAGAGTCTTGAGGGTAATCATATCTCCACGTCACACTATCTAATTAATGTTTTTCTCCACATCATTTGCTTGTGCTGAGGAAGCTTGATTTGCCAGAGATTTCTGTGCGTACCGAGATAGAGAAGATTAATGGCAGCTATTCCAGAGTATGGTCTATGTCTTTGACACCATCCCTTCATTTCCCGCTCCTTCTCGCCGCTCACTCTTCTCTCCTCTCCCCTCTCCTCCTTAAAGAAGGTCAGCCTCTCTTACTGTGGTTAAACTAGTCCATCTGTCTCTGTTGCATTCCTGTCTTGCCAGCCTTGGACCGGTTGATGAATTTCTCACCAGTGCAGTTGTTCTAGGGATAATTTACAACCCTCTCCAATACATGTGCATTTATGTGAAAAAGTTCCTTCCCTCTTTGGGGATTAAGATTTCTATCTAGGTCAGATACTTGGGTAAGTAATACATTTAATTTAGCTTCACTATGTGTGTTATTGTATTAAAGTTCTCCTCCACCCACTGTGTTTTAACAGGATTACTGGTTTTATCCCCACATAATTGAGATTTATTATGCTCACTTGTTTATTCATCTTACAACCATCTGTAGATCTAATTTTAGCAGGTTTTCATGTGACATTATGCACATGTGTGTGTTTATCTGGTCTCTACATAAATATATGACTTTTATGAACACACAAAGAGTGGTTTAAATGCAAAGCAGAGTATTAAACAAATGACCAGATGGCAGACATAAACAGATTTGTGAGGTCACTGTAAAGTGTGAAGAGAAGATCAAGGGCTTGGCATGCCTCACATGCGTGCACGCACATTTTCACCCAAACTGTATTAAAGAGTTTTATCTCTTAAGAGTTTCTGCAAATTACTCAAACATTAAGTGTTATTCATTGATGGAAGAAATAGTTAACGTTAAACAGTAGTTTTCTTAAGACAAGCTATTCAATCAAATTTTATTGTTTAAGCACTTAAAAACAACCAGTGCCGACCAAAGTGCTGTACAGAAAAAAATAAACATAAACCAGCACAGATAAAAACAAAGCAGCTAAAACATGGCTAAAAATAACATTCACACCATCAAATCAATAAAAATGGGTAAAAGATAAAAGGAATAAAAGGTGTTGAAGGCCAAAGCCTATTTGTACAGATCATTTGAACAATGCATGATTCAAAGTGGTTTACATGATGAAAACATAAAACAGAACAGTATATTGTAAAATAAAAATGTAACAAAAGGCTGGACTAGAGGCTAAAATTGATCTTCCCATTTATATATTCCTAAGCTTAATTTAAAATAACTCAGGGTTTCAGAATTTTTGTAGTTTTCTTATGATTTTGTTCTAGATCAGTGGAGCATTAGATCTAAATGCTGCTGTGTCTTTTTCTGCCTGGAATAGATGTAAACCAGAACACCTGTCATTTAGTTACAACAAATCTTTAATGTTTTTTTGGTGCTAAGACCTTAGTTATTTATAGATTAACAGAAGTATATTAAAGTCTGTACTTTACTTTTCTGTATTTTAGAACTGGGGGAAAATACTGTCTTTCAAGGGTTTAGTGAGGAAGCAGGTGGAAGCATTTGGATCAACTCCAGCTGTCTGATTGATATTTAATAAAGTTCTACAGAACTTTCAGTTTTGGCTACTCCCAGTGGTCGAAGCTATATTGTTTTGCCTGAAGAAGACAGCATTTCCCATGAGGAGCAGTGCATATGTCAATACGTTTCTGTTTTCAGGGGCTGTGATAAAGATGAATAGCGATGAGGTACTGAATCTAATTGTGGTTAAACAAAGTCATATGTTGATATTAATAAACGTTTAACTTTAGTTTTGTACCATAGTCCTGCACCGACACTGCCCCCAACTCATCAGCGACTGATGTGCCTCTGAGTTTAAGGCCTTGAAACAGATAATTATAATGTTATGTTTAATAATTCCACAGTAAACAAACATATAGATCCCAACTGGAAGGTGGCACATTGCCGGAATATCAACCCTGCACAACTTGCCTAATATACACTATATTGCCAAAAGTATTTGCTCACCTGCCTTGACTCACATATGAGCTTAAGTGACATCCCGTTCCTAATCCATAGGGTTCAATATGACGTCGGTCCACCCTTTGCAGCTAGAACAGCTTCAACTCTTCTGGGAAGGCTGTCCACAAGGTTTAGGAGTGTGTTTATGGGAATTTTTGACCATTCTTCCAGAAGCGCATTTGTGAGGTCGCACACTGATGTTGGACGAGAAGGCCTGGCTCTCAGTCTCCGCTCTAATTCATCCCAAAGGTGTTCTATCGGGTTGAGGTCAGGACTCTGTGCAGGCCAGTCAAGTTCATCCACACCAGACTCTGTCATCCATGTCTTTATGGACCTTGCTTTGTGCACTGGTGCACAGTCATGTTGGAAGAGGAAGGGGCCAGCTCCAAACTGTTCCCACAAAGTTGGGAGCATGGAATTGTCCAAAATGTCTTGGTATGCTGAAGCATTCAGAGTTCCTTTCACTGGAACTAAGGGGCCAAGCCCAGCTCCTGAAAAACAACCCCACACCATAATCCCCCCTCCACCAAACTTTACACTTGGCACAATGCAGTCAGACAAGTACCGTTCTCCTGGCAACCGCCAAACCCAGACCCGTCCATCAGATTGCCAGATGGAGAAGCGCGATTCGTCACTCCAGAGAACGCGTCTCCACTGCTCTAGAGTCCAGTGGCGGCGTGCTTTACACCACCGCATCCGACGCTTTGCATTGCACTTGGTGATGTATGGCTTGGATGCAGCTGCTCGACCATGGAAACCCATTCCATGAAGCTCTCTGCGCACTGTTCTTGAGCTAATCTGAAGGCCACATGAAGTTTGGAGGTCTGTAGTGATTGACTCTGCAGAAAGTTGGCGACCTCTTCGCACTATGCGCGTCAGCATCCGCTGACCCCGCTCCGTCAGTTTACGTGGCCTACCACTTCGTGGCTGAGTTGCTGTCGTTCCCAAACACTTCCATTTTCTTATAATACAGCTGACAGTTGACTGTGGAATATTTAGGAGCGAGGAAATTTCACGACTGGATTTGTTGCACAGGTGGCATCCTATCACAGTTCCACGCTGGAATTCACTGAGCTCCTGAGAGCGACCCATTCTTTCACAAATGTTTGTAAAAACAGTCTGCATGCCTAGGTGCTTGAATTTATACACCTGTGGCCATGGAAGTGATTGGAACACCTGATTCCAATAATTTGGATGGGTGAGCAAATACTTTTGGCAATATAGTGTAAGCTGTGTCTGAGCATCCATCCTAACCCTTATATAGTGCTCTATTATATGCACACTCTATATAGAGCACTACATAGGGGTTACCTCATTTTTATGAGTGTCCAAATTTCTAGTGTGTGAAAAAGTAGTGGACTCAAAATTTCCCACAATGCAACTTGAAAAGTATTGTGTATCCATGGTTACTAGACGAACAGATATATCCCAGAATGCTTTGCAGGAGCTCTCCTTGCAAAGCATCATGGGATTTGTTTTGGGGGAGAGAAAGAACAAAGATGGTGCAGGCACCATGAGGGGAGCCAGAGTCCCATGACCAACAGGGAGCGAAAGTACTGTAGCGTTCATCTGTCCGAACGGTCAGTTAACTGAGTTCACTATAAAGTAAACTATATAGTCCCTGCTATATATTGTAATTGAGGAATTTAGGATAGACATTGGGACACAATTCTCAGGGAAATTAGTTGCATTGACTTCAGTCTTTATAAACAATGGGGAAAAGGGGGAACTGATATATGCTATAAATCAGTCTGCACATTTGTAGTTGTTTTGACTTAGACCTAAACAACTTTTCTTGTCATTTTGTATACACAAGGTGTAGAAAATGGTGCCTTGAAGAAACTGCAGAAGCTGTGAATCTTGCTGTAACGGTAATAAACAGTTTTCAACTTAACATATAGAATATTAACAAACTTTGACCCTTTAATAAAATGCATGCAAAAACTAATTATTTTTTTCCAGAATGACAGTCCTTAAACTCACCCCCTATCAGAAAAAAAGAATATAATATATTATTATAATATTTTTCTAAGGATTTGGGTAATTTGAGACTTTTCTTTAGATATCTCTATGAAGACATAATCCCACTTGTCTAATTTTCAAATGGTCCTTTTCTATAGAAAATTTCATGTTTTTTACATTTTCTCTTTGAGTCAGTTAAAGTGGGTCACCTGTGGTTCAAAGTGCATTTAATAAGAGTACTGATTAAACTCTTCTTTGTATTTGAATAACAGTTTTTACTTTAAATGACACAAAATAATTTCAACAAATGAATAAAAAGTTCTACACACAAATAGTAGATTAATATTCCTCTTTTGCTCACTATGTTTGTACAAATAAGATAAAAAGCATTGACTCTGTCTAATTTTGGTCTTAGTTACAATTTCAGCCAGGATGATATATGAACTGAACACAAGTGCCGCTTGAGCATTTGAATTGTTTTGAAGCTATAATTTTCAAAGCATTAATCAGCAAATAGAATCAACACTGAAATAGAACTTGAAACATAGTCTACATGTACATTTAAAATCTAACAAAGGGGGAATGGATGGCAAAAGTCTTGTGACACAGAATCTGTGCAATCATCTGCTATGTTTTCCAGTCTCTGCCTTCTTCAAAATTGCACAGTTTGTTTACTCTATAAACAAATCGTGTTCCAGCGTCCATTGTTTTGTTTCAGCTGTTACATCAAGTTGTTATTAAGAAGTGATAAGCCAGTTTGTAGAAAGTATAGATATTTATGGTCAAATGTAGTGAGAAGTAGGAAAAAGTCGGCCAAAAATGAAATACTTAAGTATAAATACTGAAAAAAGGTATTTAAATAGTAATACATTTTTTTTGGGCTGCAGCTCACGATTATTTTGCAACTTGATTAATCTGTTGATGATTTTTTTTTTCGATTAATAATCTGATAGCTAAAGGTTCCTTAAAGAAGAGTTTTTTATGAAATTAAACCAAACTTTTTCAGTCGTGGAGTTCTGGAAATAGCATATTGAAAGTATACACTCCAGCATGATCAATTGATTACTAAATAAGTTTACGATTTTTTTCACTCAAGTCACTCAACACTTGTGAGTAAATCTTTCCAAGTAACTATGAATAATAACTTACAAAAATAAATAAAAAAAGGGATTAAAATTGTGATTTTCAAAGTCTGCTTATCAGATGCATGCCTGGAAATCCACATAATTAAGGGGTTTCACTGTTTAAAAGGTTGCCACTAGGTATCCCTTTCACAAAAATCCCTCTGTTGTATTCTGAGATTTAACATGAATTTTGAAAATTTTAAAGCATATCCCATCGGCTTCTTTGCTTCATAAGTTATTAAAAAATAAGAGGGGGCTCAAATTACTATAACTACTCAATGTGTATTAAGAAGAATCTGCCAGAAGATGGCGCTGTTGACAAAATCTTCCCCTGTTATCCAGGTATGTGAACATGTTTCTCAGTTTCTAGTTTAGATATATGGTAAGAGGTTTGGCTGCACGAGTAAAGCACACATAGGTGCATTTATTACCTTAACTATCGTGATTTTAAGAATAATGCTGCAATATAGCAGAATACCTGTGAGGACTTTTTCCATGTTGAAGTCATACAATAATTGCATATTTACAGCCAAATGTGCACTTAATATCTGCTGGCGGTGTGTTTTTGCATAGATTAATTGAGTAAATCTCTGAGTGTTTGTGCATTCATTTGTGAGTATTTTCCTGGCATGTACACATGGAACATACTTACATGTACATGTGTGTCTGGCATAAGCAGATGGGTGAACCACAGGAAATGAGTGGCCTATAGTGCAGGAGGAAATTATTATCCCACATGGCTCCACTGCTGCTGCTGCTGGACAGCTTGGCTAAGCTGCTCCCCTTCTTTTATTTTAGCTACCGTTGATTCAACAATCTATGGAGAGATTATCAGCATAACTACAAAACATTTTTTAACGTATGAGTTTATAAACCTTGAGTTCCTGCAACATTTAATTTCATTTAATAAAGTAAAAGTAAAAAAGGACTGTCAAGCCTGGAGTCTTCTAAGAAAATACTGATCTATTACTGTATATATGTGAGAGTTTTTCCTGAGAGACTGAAAAAAGGGATCAGGTATTTAGCCGAGGAAAAGAGGCAAAATAGAGATGGTGGAGAAATCTACCAACATAAATAGATAGAAAATGATTAAATAAGGGTAATCATAAGTAATGCGGTGCAAGAAAAGTGAATGAATGACCTGTAATTTTTTGTTATGATTATTTTACAGTAAAGAAATAACATTATTTTTGATAAAAACAGGCAAAACTCTATAATATAAAATACTTACCCAGATTGGAAGATGTGCGGCCAAACAAAAAATGAATAAAAAAGAAACAACATTTGCTAAAGCATCAATGTGTCTTTTTAATGTGACTTAAAATTCCACTGACATAAATCCCTGCAAGATAGATTTGGAATAAATCTGTGTTTTTGCAGGTTTCCAGTTTTATGATGCTGTTTGGATAAATTGCTGTGTGAAATCCATTCTTCAAAGAACACAGCAATCCGGTTTCACCGTGTCAGATGCGTCATTCTCACTTGTAAATTGCTGTGCAACCATTTTCCACAGTACATCTCTAACAGACTACATAATTACATCTCGCTCTGGAACTTTGGATGGTCTTCTGATATTGGTCTGATGTCTTTCCATAACTCTTGAATGAGAACATTTAATGAGATTTTATTCCTGACTCGCTACAAATGATCTGCTTGTTGATATCCAAACTGCACCAAGCACTAACGTATGTCTTATCTTTTCCAGTTCTTTCTGTTCAGGCATCGTTTGGTCTAATTAATGCTATCAAATACATTGATCGTTCGTTATTAAGAAATTAATATTATGGGGATAGTGATCACATATTGATCAAGGAAAACTTTGGAATTTTAGATGTACATTACAGCCACCTTCTGCTCTATTGCAGTTACATTCTTCTAAAATATCCACTTGTATGGTTTATAAATGGTTTTCAACTATACCTTTATTTTCCAACAGAATTCAACCAATGACCATATAACTTCAAATACTCTGAAAAAAATTAATATGCTGTCTTTTTGAGGCTTAAAAAACAATTTTTTAAAATAAAGATGAGCTATTAAAGAAAAGGCCTGCCATATTGAATGGTGCTTTCCAACGGTGCCATGATTTAAAATAGGTCTGTAGTAAATGATCCTGTCTGCCTGTGTCTTTATTCCCTGACTGGTCATTAATCTGAACTTTCAAGCTTGATAAGATGTTCTTTTAAAAGAAAAGCGGCTAAAAGATGACTTCCTGGTTAGCATGTGTGTATGTAGAGAAAAACATTGTGTATAAATCGGTAGTTTTTTAAAAGGACCTTGAATTTTACGATGGTCATTTTGCTGCCCCTTGTTAATTTTACAAGAACCTTATAATAGACTTCTTATCTGCTTCAGACAATGAAAGCAGGAGAGAAAGAAAGCAGAATGAGAAGTGGTATTTGATGAGAGAAGTGGGTACAATCACCCCAATACAATATCTGCTAACATAAGCTTCATTAAGCTCCAACATGGGGTAAATGGAACGAGGTGTCCTCATGTGCAGCTCCACGGTAAATTCAAATATAACTTTCCGATTAGGTTGTTTTAATTAGTATAGTTAATACAGTATAAACAAGGTATTGTCAGTGTAGTTTTAACATTTTTTATTCAGTTTACAACTCTTAGTTGGGCTAAACGATTTTGCCAAAAACCCTTTTGCAAAAACTCTTCATCAAAATTGCAATTTTATTTTGATTTTCCTTTGCATCAACCCCAAGCTTGTAGATGTTTCGCCCACGGCTTTATTACAGGACTTAACTTTAACCATTATGTAAAAATATGTTTACTTTTACTTGTATGCATTGATCTGCGTGCTACCTACAACCCTCTACACCTTTCTGTGAGGCGACAAACTCACTTCAAGCATTTAACCACCGCCCAAAGGGCTGGAGAGAGAAATGTAGTGTCTTACTCTGGTTAGATATAGTGTGATTAAAAATCCGAGCCTCTGCAATTTCAAAATTGTGTTTTGTTAAATTGCGATTATATTGAAAATGCAATAAATTGCTCAGCCCTAGCTCTTGGAAGACCAGCTTACCTAGATTTTAGTAATAAATAAATAATAATAGTGATAAATGCATATTTAAAAAAGAATCTAGTGACACATGCAGCATAAAGTTTAATAGTCCCACTCACCCCTAGATTAAACAGCAGCTCTGTGTCAGACACTCCTTATTATCACCTTCCTCAGTCTGTGTGACACTTGCTGATTGGTGGATTGGACTGATGAGTTAAAAACACCAATCTTGGTCTGATAATTTCCCCTGACAGCAGGTGATTTAAAAAGAGGTCACTCAGCATGCATGAAGCTGCAGAGCATGTGATTTGTGATTCAGATTCGGGCATGTTACCGTAAGGCATTTAATACTAGATCTGTATTTATTTCCATATCTTTGTGCAACATCAGCACTGCACTGTGCGCTGATTATATGTGAGATTACATTCTGAGACTGATACTTTTACTTAATTCAAAATTAAATTACATGAATTCTATCTACGTGTTTCTGAATGAAAAACCAATCAGTTTGCATAAATGGACTTGATTCTTTCTACCTCAAGCTTAGTGTTTTAATGCCATTAGAGGGCAGTAGAGACCAGGAAGAAGACCGTCAGTAAAACAGCATAGAGGTGTTGCTTTAGGCTTTATAGCATTTGTTTCTTCTTAGATTATCTTAATTGTTTTGTTCTTTTCATATGTGGTGTGACTCATATAAATACTTGTACAAATCGCCCAGACAGAGAAAAATGGAAACACATGAGTAGACAGCCTGTGAGATGGTGGACACAATTCAAACTTTGCTTTTTATGGCCTTCAAGTCTCTGCTGACAGACTGTCACTGTTATGACTGTATTTGTTTCTGCCTGTGATAAACATTAGGAGAAAATGTTCCAGCTTTTCCAAACTAGTCTTCGGCCAGCTAAGTGTCACTCCTCTTCTCTGTCTGTGCTTTTGTTAAAGTGACAAAAAGCCTGAGTGTTTGATAATGTGTGACCGGATACTGATGGGCACGTTACCAGGAGCAACCGGCAGCTGTGTTTTTCTGTGATTAGAATTTGCTGTTTTATTTTTATAATCACCTCATAAACCAAATCTTCCCCTTGCCAGCCCCTGTTACACTTTCCCTCCATCCCTTCCCTAATGTCTCTCCACCTTGCCTTTGTTCCCTCTGTCACTACACCCGTTTCCCTCTTGTGTTTTTATGTGGAGCCTCCTCTCAACACCCCCTCTATGGTTTTCGTTGCACCTACTCTATAAGAATGAGCAATGAGTGAAGGGAAACTGTGGAGCATGTATTAGCTCAGGGCACACGGTAGCCATTATGGGGCTAAAGCACTGCCAGCGTGCTTGATGAGGGGGAACTACGCAGCCTCGCCCTGGGACACTCCATTAAACTCCCCCTCTTTGTCTTTCTGTCTTTCACTAACAGGAGCACACAAAGAAACACAAGCACAAAGGTCTGATCTATATCCGGTGTGTTCCTGTACATGCCCAAAAGCCATGTCCTTGCTCTCATCTTAAACCCTAACCTCATCACCTGAACAATTGTATTAACACCGGTTTATTCATTCAGCAATGGAATTAGCTCTTTGTGTCTTATAAACACCTTTGAAGCAACCCGCTTTTAACTCTTTCTAATAGACAATGGGGTAAAACAGCCTGTCGCTATTTTACAAGAATGCAGGTTATTTCAAACAGATCTGCCTAGGATGGATGTGTAAATACAAATCTTTTAGGAAATACAATAATTTGGTAAAAGTTAATGCATCAATTATGATTTAAAAACCCAAAACAAAAAATATATTACCACCAGGGAACACTTCACAAGCCCTTCTCCCATGATAATAAATATTTAAATATGAGTTTTTTTACTTATAAATTATAAAGGCAAGATTTGTTAAGAGAAGCTTACATTAACAAAATAATAACAATATACATTTTTAGTTGTGGCATATGCATTGTTAGCCGCAATTATTGATAAATGCTTTATTAAAGTATTCAGGCCTTTTAGGAGCCACTTTGAAAATGACCTGGAAGGGTTATTCTTGTTCTTTTTCTGGAATAATAACCATGGAGTTCATAAAAGTTTCTTTGTCCTAGGTTGCCTTTGGAGTTGAAAAATATAACAAAGTACTCTTTAATGAGGGTGTGCTTTTGTTATTGCTTTATATTGGACTCATCTTTCATCATAAAAGTTTTATTGAAAAACGGTTTTGCAGAGGATTTCTCTGTCTTACCGGGTGAAATTACTGGATTCAACCATTGAGTGCCCATGGATTTAGATTGTGCCTGGTGGAATAACCCAAAATGAAAAAGTATTTTTAACACAGTTACTTGGAAAAGAACTAAATGAAGGAGGTGTGGCTTTGTGTGCTTCAATTATGCTCTTCAATACATTTTAAAGACACATATTTATATTTAACTTTTATACAACTAAAGTATAAATATGTTTCAGGAATGGGTGGAGACAAGGAATTCCATATTTTTCTGAGTGTAATGGCTCTTCGTGTAGTGACTCTTGCGTCGTTCTAAGTGAAACTCCCTCAAATTCTTGAATGTCTTTTTCTTGACAATCCTATAGAGGCCGTGGTTCTGTGTACTTCTTCCTACTGCTTTTTAATTGTCCACAACTCATTCCTTGCTGACCAACTTTTCCTTTAATATTCTTGGATACAAGTTTGTGAACAACAAGGACCTTTTGGGGCTTCCCCTCATTAGACAGTGTTAAGGCTAGTTTATGCTCAGATACCCCCCCCCTTCTGCGGATACTCTGGTGCACCTCTCCAAAATTGTAGGTGACCGCAGAAAGAGCTGCAGGCAGGAGGCCTTGGATTGGTCAATTCTACCTCCATTTTACACTATTTGTATGTCCTGTTTGGTACCTTACCAGCTTGTTTCGTTTGAATGAACACCATTGTGGAAAACGACTTGTGAAGATGAACCAGCTAGAAGAGCGAGGTGCGCTAGAACACTGGGACCCTTTTTCCACCGATATCCAAGCTCTTTTTTTCCCTCATGTCCCTCCGTTTTCACACAAACTTGTTGGGATCTGGAGATCTGCCACCTGTCTCCAGCAGAGAGCACTGTGGGTCTCCTGGGCTGGAGCCTCCAGCACACCTGTGGATCATCAGCCCATCAGGAGACCTCCTACATAAGCAGCAGCCAGACCTGACTTCTTCGCCGGAGTGTTGACCAGTTTTGGTTAGCGAAACCTGAGCCTCTGTTTCTCGTTAAGAATCTCAGTCTGCTCTTGAGAGTAAAGATTCTAACCAACCTCTGTCTTCTCTGCTCACAGGAAAGTCCGACTAAAGTCTGTAGCTCTGGAGGAGCTAGTTTGGAAACCTGCCTGCCTGCCCTAGGAAGCCAAACCTGAAGACAATCAGTCTGGATTCCCCAATCAGCTCTCATGGGAGAGCTTGGACTTCATTCAAGGTCTGAAACTCAATTGTCTGAAGCTAGACACTGCTGCTGCTGAGCTCTCTGCTGAACCCACTGTTTCTGGACCCAATTAGTTCCCCCTCTCCAGTGATCTGCCTGAACCTCATCAAGGTACAAATCTGAATCAAACATCAACAAGCCCTCTCCGCTGCCTGGCTAACCAAACAATCCATCTCTGCAGATTCTCAGTGACTGCTGTCCCGGACCTGTACCAGAACCAGCTCTTGTTTTTCTGTGTGTGCATCTTAAATAAACTGTTAAACTTTTACCCCGTTTCTGTGGTGTTCTGCATGTGGGTTTATACACTAGAGACCCATCATGACAAAACTTGTCCCTTGCGTTTTTCCACTTCCTCACCTCCTTGGCCATATCTAGACCTACAGCTTGTCCGTCTCTCTTGCGTTGTGGCGTGGAATAACATAGCACAGACCACACTTCAAAATTGGGCAAAAATCAAAAATAACTGCATCATACCTGCGACAAGCTCACTGTGACACACTGTTGCGGGGGTATAATCAGCTATTAAGTGAGTGCAAAGCTTACTGACCCATTATCAGACAGTTTAGATGCCCAGTTTCCTTTGCCTTTGTTTTAAGTTAATTAGCTTATTATATTGTGACGCCATAAATTAAGAAATTTAAACTTTTTCTTAATGCCACTATCTTAGTTTATAGTTATCTAGACACTATAAGCGTCAAAATAAAAGTGTTAAAGATTTGAAATATTTCACTCTGGAGGTTTCTGAAATGAGTGACAAAAAATCACTGGAATTGTCACACGTTACTCTTTTGGGGATGCATCTTATATGGCAGCTTTGAATGAGAAGTGGAAAAACTGGTAATTGTAGTCAGCTCTGTGACTCACTAGCTTTTGACTAAAGCAACATATGAATGTTTGCTTCTGCCGGGTTATTTTGAAACTCATTATTGCAAATTTTTTAAGATTATGCAGTGCTTTCTCTCCTTGTCTGACTGAGAAGCTGCCATTAAAAGTCCCATGTATAGATTTGTGACATCTATAGGATTTTCCGGCCAAAAACCAAGAGAATTCACTTTCTTTTTGAGAATAGGGCTTCCTCTACTTGCACTCAAAGCGTATAATGCTCACATTCGAAACTTCTGCTTTCTCTCCAATCTATTTTCTTCTTCATCAAATTTTTGTCTCTGCTCTCAGATCTAATGCTTCTTCCACAGATATTTTCTCCTTTACTTCCTTCTCCTTGCACGCCGTATCTGCTCGAGTTAGAGATAGGCTTGTAAACCCGTTGGCTGTTCTTGTGGATTTTTTTGCTCTCTCAGACTGGAGTGGGGGGTTCGCCTAGCAACCTTTGCAGCCAATAGAATCACTGCCTCAGAATGGGTACAGTTGATTTTTTTTTTACTGTCCTACAAATCTCAATTTGTAGGACACCTACACCGATGTAAGCTATTTTCATTTTTATCAAATCCAAATTGGAGAGAAGTAGTGCAATTCTGCCTACAAATTCTCTCTCTACAGCCTTAATCTCGATTTTTATCTCTTCAAATTTGGTAGTCAGGATTTCTTTAAGATCAAATCTGAATAACTCTGATATGTCACCCTTTATCGAAGCAAGAATCTCTGTCTTGTTGTCGGCTATAGTTTAATACTTCAGTGGTTTACTTGGCTGTGGTCATTCTGAGCTAGCTTTAGCTGTCCTTGTTGTCGACATCTTAATGCGAGGCTTGTAGGCAACCTACTCCATTGGCTGCTCACTCCAATCGCCCCAGGAAAAGTTGTTTTGTATGTCCACTGGTAGACATTTGTTTTCTAAAAAAGTGAAAGGGATTTCATTTATCATTGATTAGCATAGATTGTCATGACCTTTCCTGATAGCTGGAAAGATCATGTTCATTTCACTCATCTGCCTTACTCTTCCCTGCTAATTATCAGTCATCACATCCACCTGTGTCTATTCCTTTATATTTTCGGTTCAGCCAAGCCATCGAGGCCAGATCATTGATTGCTGTCTGTTTATGCCTGTTAGTTTGTCTGTTTAGTTAGTTTAGTTTTTTCCATGGTTCATGTCCTTGTTCCTGGAGGCCACCAGATTGAGAGCGTTTTGTGTTGGTCTTGTCTCCTGTTCCTGCTCCTGACCTTAGTTCTCCTTGTACCATGTCTTGTCTCTGTCTCTCAACTGCTGAGCCTGCCTGTTTCCATCTGAGCGTGTCTGCCTGAGCACTCTACTAATGCTCTGTGGATTCCTGGAACCCTTTTTCTGTCTGTTCCTGTGTAGATCAGAACTCTTAATCGAGCTGAGGACTCCTGGATCTCAAAACTGTCCAGTTCTGACCTGAATCTGTCTCCTATCAGCTTTCTGTGCTTGCTGCATTAATTGGGGACACTCTGGATGGCTCTGAACTGGATCCCGTTCGGCAGTCCATTGGATGGATCCTGCCTTCCACACAAGGAATGGACAGATCTGTTAAACCAGGTAAGTAACTCACACGGATAATCATCCCCTGTCTGATATTAGTGGTCACTTACCTGTGTTTCTCACCCCTCTTTCCCCACAGTTGCTGCAGGTCAACAGATCCACAGCAACCTGTTTTTGTTCTGTTTTGTTTTAATAAACGTTCTGAACTTTCCTACTGACTGTCTCACCTCGAATACTGGGTCCATCTGTCCCGTTCAATGACATGGAAGCTGGAACTCAAAACACTTGAGCCCAGTTAACATCTTACCAGTTTGTCAATCATTAATGAAAACAAATTGCACTGGCTAAGCATGGTGTCATATTCATCTTTTTCTCTCTATGATTCATTTTATAAATGTAATGTGTAATTCTCAATTTTACAGTATTATATTAATGTGCTTAATGGTTACATTGCATATATTAAAGGTTCTTTTTAGAAGAAAATCTACCAGTGTATTTCAAATAGAAAAACCTCAGAGATGCTTAATTTACCATAAGTATTTTTCTTAAAGCATGATGTTGAAATCCAGATTTTATCTCAGAGTAAATGATGCCAAAATAAAGCTTCTAACCTGGCTTAAGTATATTTGTTGCTCCCATACATTACACCAGGTCATGGCAGCTTTAGTAGCTTTCATAAAAGCTTACTACCTCACACACATAAACAGCCTCAAACATGTAGAGATTTTATAGCTGCAGTGTGTATTTGTGTAACAGAAAATAAAATATCATTGATATATTACTGCACAGGAAAGAAGAGGTCTACCGAGGAGAAAAGAATATGATCTATATCCGATCAACTCAGGAAAGCATCTAAAATGCAAATTAGTCTGAATCATCTTCAAATGCATCACCGTAAACTGTAAAACAGATGCGACTCAATTTCACAGACAAATTTGTTGTCGGGATGCTGGACAGCTCATAACGCTTTCCAAGGTGACATCCTTGATTTGATACTTATGCAATCTTGCAAACATAACCATGTAAATATGAAACGACGAATCAGAAATGTTGAACAGCCTGAAAGCAAAAAAAGATGTTGTGTAAATATTAATCTGGAAATGGAAATCAATGCAAAATTGAATCATTAGTTTATTTTTATAACTAGGTTTTGTGAATCTTTGTTTACAGGGATAAAACACCTGTTGCATGAGATAAGGAGATATATGAGGCTTCTTGGAGAGTTTAAACAGAGTGTATGTCTATTTATGTATTTCTTCTCATTTTAAAACTTTTTGTCTTAAAAATGAAAGAACCAATATAGTTGTTGACTAAACTGAGTAATAATGATATAGTACAATATGAGAAACCCTTGTTCTAGACAGACCAGAAGTGAGACCCGATGCAACATCTGACCCCAGCACAGCAGGAGAGCCATACAAATGAAAAAAGTTTCTGTTAATGTTCAATACCCCTGCCTCCAGTGCTAAATAAATTTCACCTGAGTAAAAAGAAAAATTTTTGGGACAGCGTGTGTCCCAAAAACATTCCCCTACTCTTTAGACAATTTTCACCTCACAGATCATGAAATCAAACCAATACACAATCTGTTGGAAATATAAAGAGGAAATGGACAAACAGTGTCTTACATGGGATTAGTAGAGGTCAACATTACCTTCCCGCCTGAATTTTTTGGGTTACCTGTTGGAGTCGACACACTTGCTCTTGTAGCGCCTCATATTAAACCATCTCAACAATTTATTCTGATTGGCACCAGCACCCTAGATGTTGCTTACAGAAAACATTTTGATACTCATCCTGATCAGTCCTTTCAACCTATTCTCTCTGGTTATATAACAGTGTACAAGATCCTCCAACACTGCTACATCCAGAGTTTGGATGATCATACTGCAACTGTCACCCTGCAGTCTAACCAGTCTCAAATCATCACGGCTGGCCAAACCAAAGGTTTAGAAGAATGTTTAACTGAAAGACTATGGCAAGATGAAAAACAAGTCCTCCTTGAACATCGAAGTTCCTATGACCTCTCTGGTGGGCCTATGAAGAAAATCTGCACTTTTCAGACTGTCATCTCACAAGAGCAGAAAGTCCAAAATTCAACCCTCTCTACAGAATGACTACATCCTGAGGTGATCTGTACTTTGGCCAGGTCGTGCTTGACAGACAAAATTAAACATTAAATTAAGTTGTCTGATCCCACTCCTTTTAAACAAAGGGCAAGACCAATCCACCCTCAGGATGTAAGAAAGCACTTGCAAGAACATTCTGATTCAGGAGTCATACGAGTCTGATTCACCATTTTCTTCTCCAATTGTGGTTGTATGCAAGAAGAACAGCAGTGTACACCCCTTTATTGACTACAGAAAACTAAATCTTCAAACAATAAAGGACACATATGCTCTATCAAAGCTCAAAGACAGACTTTTCTGCCCTTTCTGACCTCAAGTGGGGTTATGGGTGGATGAAAAGCATAAATCCAAAACTGCCTTTGTTTTTCCATTTTTGGGAATTCAACCACATGCAACAAGGGGTCACTAACACCCCAAGCACATTGCAACGGTTGACGGGAAGATGCATGGGAGAATAAAATCTAAAAGAAGATTTCGGTTTTCAACGATGATTTGATCATTTTTGCAACTACCTTGGAGAAACATGATGAATGCCTGATGAAAGTTCTTGGCAAACTTAAAGACTATGTGTTGAAATTGTCAGTTGAGAAATGTGTATTTTTTCAAACATCTGTGAAATATCCTGGGCATGTATTGTCCCACAATGGTGTTGAGACAGATTCTGATAAGATCAAAATAAATACCTCCTGACCAGTGCCAATGAACCTTAACAAACTGAGATCTTTCCTCGGTTTCTCCGCATATTACCGCCATTTAGTCCAAGGATATTCAGCCATATTTAAGCCCCTGCATGACTTGACTGCTGGTTACTTAAACCCCAAAGCACCATTTGGAGGACAGTGGATGACAGTGTGCCAGCAGGCCTTTGAGAATATCATTGAGAAACAAACTTCTGCTCCTTTACTGGCATTTGCTGATAACAAAAGCTCTAAACACCCCACACCAATGCCAATTCCAACTGTCTTGGTGTGGTGTCGTATCAGTAGCAGGATGGAAAGAACAGAGTTGTGGTATATGCCAGCAGAGATCTCTTGTGAAGTGAATCTAAGTACCCTGCTCATAGGTTAGAGTTTCTCGCTCTAAAATGGAGCGCAGATAGAGAAATTTAATAATTATCTCTATGGTGTCCAGTTAAAAGCTGTCACAGACAGCAATCCACTAACTTACCTGTTGTCCTCAGCAAAGTTTGATGCTACCAGTTATAGATGGCTTCCAGCTTTGTCTACTTTCACATTTAAGATCATCTACAGATATGGAAAGCAGAAAATGGATTGTGACGGATTGTCTCACCTCAGGGTGAGCTGCCTGATGATCTTACTTCCAGAAAATAACATGAACGAGTCCTTAAATTTGCCCAGCAAGACTTCAACGAACCAGATTATATCTTAATTGACCGGCACACAAGCGTAGCAGTTTCTGCTTGTCACATTGTGTACAGCGTAGGTGTAAGTCTTGACCATGCTCTGGTGTTGTCTATGTACACCCATGTCAACAGCCTACCTGACAGTTTTACTGACTATGAGCAGTTCAGCTCTTCTTTACTACCTCGATTTTCAGCAGATGGCATCGCAGCCAGGCAGCATGACGGCCCTGTTATCCACCATGTCATAGGTCAGCTTAAACGAGGAGAGTCACCATCGGTAAGGCAGGAACTTCCTAAACTGCCCTTTCGTCTGCGAGAAGTTAACAAGATGGAGCTCCAAAGCAACCTTCTCGTTAGGAGTGGACTAGTGAAGTTAACCAACATATCAACTAGTATTACCTGAGGAGTATAGAGTTATTGTGCTGCACCAACTGCATAACCAAATGGGCCGTATGGGAATTGCATGAACTGTCAACTTTCTACTGGACTAGCACTTTCATCGATTGTTGTCAAGAAAAATGAGATCCTGTGATAGATGTGTGAGATGCAAATCATTGCCTAAATGAGCTGCACCTTTGGTCAATATTAAAACCACCCTTCCTTTGGAGTTGGTGTTCACGGACTTCCTCTCTTTACAACCGGATCGCAGAGTCAAAGAAATTCTTGTCAGAACAGACCACTTCACAAAGTATGCCATTGCTGTGCTTACTCCAAACCAAAAAGGCAGGACTGTTGCCAAGTGTTTGTGGGACAAGTTCCTTGTACATTATGGCATTATGAAAATTTTTTTATAGTGATAAGGGTTCAGATTTTGAATCACAAGCCATTCAAGAGCTCTCAAAATGGCCAACATCCAAAAAATAAGAACCACTCCATACAGTCCAAGAGGAAATCTCGTCAAACATTTTATTCGAACACTGCTGGACATGCTGGGAACGTTAATTGAAAAGGAAAAAACTAATTGGAGAGATTTGTAAAACCGCTAGTACATGCCTACAATTGCACGAAAAACCGTGTTACAGGATACTAACCATATAAGCTGATGTTCAGATGACAACTTTGCCTACCAGTGGATTTAGCCTTTGGACTGCCATTAAGAAAGGATGGATTCATCTCCCACTCACAATATATGATGAAGTTAAAATCCCACCTGGAAGGAAAGTTACAAACTGGCTAGTAGGAACTCAGCTAAGGGAATGCAATGTAAGAAGATCCGATTTGACCAAAAAAGTTACTGCATTAGAACTGGACATTGGAAACATAGTTTTGGTGAGGAATGTGCGAATAAGGCTATGTTAACACTGCAAGCCTTGATGCTCAATTCCGATTTTTTTGAGAAATCCGATTTTTTTGCATTGCCATCCACATTTCCAAATGCAACTTGTATGAGATCTCCTGTGTAAACTGCACTCATAGAGCTGATGTGTCCCGCATGCGCAGTAGAGGACGCAATGATGTCACAAGCCAGCGTGCTTCATGTTTATGGAAGTAAACATGGATGTAGTGCTGGAGCTTATCTAGAGATCTTTACAAACCTTAAAACCTCAATCTTTT